AAAAATGCAGCTTGATAAAAGCTTCACTTTATCTTCCACAAACTATCTCTGATACTAAATGGTGACAATTACAGTAGTCAGAAAGTAATGAGTAACTAACACTCTTTGCAACATTTACTCACACAAATCACTTTGGGGGGGGAGGGTTACATCAACATCCATAACAAATTACCTTAAAAACAACTGTCCAAGTACCCACCAGAACAATAAACAACTGAACTGCTGAATAGCTCAGTGAGAGATGACGCGCCACCCCAAACCGACCCGTTTCTTTCCACGCTTCCGTTGCAATGGGTGGGAAGGTGGGCTAAGGGCAGGGGATTGTGGGAGTTGTAGTCTAAACCTTTTGGAGCACCCCTGCCTCCCCCTTCTTGAAGCAAACTTATACTCAAGCCACTGACATGCTGCCCTTTTCGCCTTCACTGAATGGATCCTCAAGGTTCAGGGAGAAAGAGGAGCAGCTGACTTTCCGCAGTGCGTTTGCTTGTCTCTCTATGACAGTCCCATGGATTTTGCCCTCAGTGCTCTCAGTTCAATTTGACAGCTTTCTCTCCCAGAGGATTTACACATAGAGGCACATCACACCAGTGTACATGGAAGACAGGGGATGATCTCAAGTTCGACGTCCCTCAAAGCCATTTAAAGTTGGCCAGGTGAACTTTCTTTCCCCCAGACAGTCAGCCAGCCACAACAGGACAAGAAAAGCTAGAAACGCTGCCAAATCCCACCCACCCAGAATGATCTGAGCCAGACCTGTCCCTAGAAATCCTGCCATGCCACCCTAAACTGACTCGTTTCTCTCCGCACTTCCCTTGCAACAGGCGGGAAGGTGGGCAGTAAGGCAGGACGGACAAATGGGGCTTGTCTCTCCCTCCCCACCCGGGTGCAAGGCAGCGCTTCACCGGGCAAGGACAGGGACCCGAGAGACCCTTTCCTTCCATCCAATCCACACTCGGTGCTCCCCTAAGGGAGAAAGGTGAGACGTGGCAGGCAGAAAGAGCTGGATTGTCTGGCGGTGGCGGCACCGGATCCACTGCCAGCACCGGGGCTGCAGCTGCCTTCACCGGTTTGGTTTCCTCCAGGGCCCCCCTACCGTCCCCCTTCTGTTCCGACGCTCCCACACCACCCCTTTTCGCTCTACCGCCCCCCTGAAAAATGAAATCGCCCTCTGGGGGGCATTATTGCCCACATTAAGAACCACTGATTTATTCCTCCCATTCATCTGTTGTATTGATGCTGTCATTTCTGATGTTATATACTATACTGTAATAATATTGCTGCTAGTTGGAGAATGCCATTAGCAAAGACTGCTTTGGTTTATTTTGGTACTCACACCTACTATCCATGCAGCTCATGCCTTTTTTTTCTGACCTAAGTTCTCTTGAGTGTAATCTTGTGCATCAAGACAAGATTGAAGACAACATCAATGCAGTCAAAATCCCAGAGTTTTCTTTAGAATTAAGACCTCTATGAAGAAGGACAAGGATTGATATGTGTTCCAGAGTAACAAATGGTTTTGTGTAGAAATCCACACATTTGTGTGCTGGCAGAAAGGAATGGAAAATAAAAATGATGAGAATGAATTTTATGTGGTACTGCTTTCATCATGGACGTTTCAGAAACTATCTTTGTTTTTTGTTTACTTTAGTGAAAGTAAATAGGAGAGTTTATGCTATGTGATATTCTGGTATGTAAGATTAACACAATTGTGTAACGTGATTTCCCCCCCTTAATTAAACCAAATTTTATATAAGAATTTTTGTATGCTGGGAAGTTAGGATCAGATAATGATGCATGAACCCAACGAGTTGTATTCCAAGGTGGTTTTGCACTGACAGAAGAGCCTTTTTTGGGTGCATTTTGACCTTGCCCCTTCCACTTGCTGCAGCTATCCATCCTATACCTCACCCACCACAACGTAGGTCCTTGCCTTGTACAAGTAAGTAGGCTTGCCTGTGGTGCAAAGCCATTGTTGGGTGCAACCCAGTGTTTGTGTAGGGGAATAAAATGTATTCATAGCTGTTGTCCACAATCCTTGGAGAATAATTTGAGTTTTCCTGTTGATTTCAGTGAAGTTCTTGTATCCGGCCTCTCATGTAATAACATAATTTATTGTCATTGTAAGTATATACACAGTATACCCATACAACGAAATTTACAATATGTATGTAATCTTGAAATCTCTATTATGAAGATTTAACCGTACTGCAACATCTCCAGTTATCTGTCAGTACGATCAGACTTGTTTACTGTGACAAAAATTGTTTCTTAAAAATAATAATAATAATGGAACCACAGAAGAGGAAAGAGGCTTCTGTGCCTTTACTAATGACTTTAAAATACCTTGTTCAAATTGACCCCAAGCATTTTTGTGAAATCTCACTTGATGTTCTCTTGTTTCTCTGTGTCTCTCTCTCTCTCATACACACAGAGACACAACACACCTCTACCTGCATGCTCAGTCTACATTAGTTTTTGTTCAGAACAAGTACGTATATTGCTTTTTAAAAATGCATTCTGCTGTTTTATTTGCAGAAGTTAAGTATTTCCAGCTCCACTGAAGCTAGCACAATTAATCTGGCTTTCCTGGGACAAGAGGAAGCTGAAGGTCCAGCAGATGACCCAACACAACCAAAGCCTTGTTTTACTGAAGGTATGGGGGGAGGGCAAAATTATTGTCGAGACTGCATGCTGAAGGAGGAAAATGTATTTTTTTTCTAGGAAAAACTCTAAGGACTGGTGGATTGATTATCCATTCATCCATCCATCCATTTTTGTGATTTAACTTTTTAAAAACATCTCCTGCTCTTCTCTATGTGCCTGAAGCCCTATCCATTCATTCCATACCTGGGTGGGCTAAACATGAGAAGAAGGAGGTGAGCTAGCTTGGTGCTTTCCATCTTCATCTGCTCACACAGAGGAACACATCCAAAGATGGGAGACAACCCAATCTATGAAGGCTCTCATACAAGGTGGAACATGGGGAAATCAGGATTCTTCCTCATTGGAGGACCTTCACAGATTAAAGAGTCTTCCCTCTTCATACCTAATGTTTTTGATGAACAAAGCAATGACAGAAAGCTTTGGCTTATTCTTCCTTTTTGTGCTTTGGACTTATCTGCATGCTCAAAAGATCAACATGGAGGGCAAGAGTGTGCTTGCATGTATTCTCTCAATGCAGGACATAGTTTTGATATAGTGGACTGGGCTAATTGTTTTGGTGCCACTAATATAGGCATGGCAGGCTGGATAGCTCTGTGAGTTAGGTATCTGGCTGTAGAGCCAGAGACTGGAAGTTCAGTTCCCCAGTGTACCTCCTAGAAGAGCCAGCCTGTGTGGCCTTGGGCAAACTGCACTGTTCTAGGATGACCCCAAAGGAGGGGAACTGTGAGCCTCTTCTGATTATTCTCTACCTAGAAAACCTTGAAAAGAGTCACCATACATCAGAATTGACTTGACAGTGAGATACCGAGTGTGGCGTAGTGGATAGAGCAATGGACTAGGACACAAGAGGCCTGGGTTTGAATCCCCACTCAGCCATCTAAACTCACTGGGGGTGTGGAACTGGTAAAGTCACTCCTTATATATCTCACTTATCTCAAAAGTCCTATTAGGATCAGTATAAGTTGGTTCTGACTTGATGGTTCATGACAACAACAATACAGGTATCCATCTGAAATTTATTAGCAATTTTAAATTGGTTGTTGTGGGTTTTTCGGACTCTTTAGCCGTGTTCTGAAGATTGTTCTTCCTAACATTTCACCAGTCTCTGTTGCTGGCATCTTCAGAGGACAGCATCTTCAGAGGACGGCCTCTGAAGAGGACGGCCACAGAGACTGGAGAAATGTTAGGAAGAACAACCTTCAGAACATGGCCAAAGAGCCTGAAAAAACTACAACTATTAGATCCCAGCCGTGAAAGCCTTCACGAATACACTACTCTCCATTTGCTTGAATTTTTTTTAGTGGTAGAAGTAACAAAGACCAAAAATAAAACTCTCTCTGTGACTTAATTAATAACTAGTAGAAGCATAAAATACTGTAGAAACATATGTACTGTAGTCAATTATGTTTGACTTTGTGTCTACTTCATTATTGTACTTGATTATTTGACACAGTTTTATACCACCACTGATTCCTTTTCTTTAGGATTATATATTGACTCAGTAATGATTTGTTCTCTGTGAGTCCCAAGTACTGTAAGGAATGTTAAATCTTACAATTTTAATAAAATTCCCTAACATCACACATGGTTACAATTCCCAGAGGTTTTTATTTAAAGGAAAAGCTGATATAATAAATGAATTAAAATTTATAGTCCCAAACAAAACAAAAAAAATACAGCCATCTTGGCAAGAAACTTCATGGCCATTAAAGGTACTTACCAAATTGGCCACTTAAATATTTCAGCAGTTTGTGGGCATTTTTGACATCTTACTGTGGTACTATCATAAGTATATTAAATGTGCCTAAAATTCAGAAGCTTTTCAATTTTGGACTAAGTGTTGAAATGAGCAGCAGCTATCTGGTCTATATATTTATAGTACTATTTTCATCAGTTCTTCAAATCAGTTATTTGAGTTGATGGAATATATGTGTTTTAGAATCATGTTGCTGGCCTGCCAATGGAAACTGGAGTTGGGACAGATAAATGTTGCTCACTTTATCTCAGAGGGTTTCTTACTCTCGAGTGTATGCCTAGCAAATGGTATCCTGCATTCAGACTGTGGAAGGAGATGCTTTTCATTAACCCACTTTTTTTCTGTAATTAAGCAGAGTGGAAAGAGGCTGTGGGGTTTTGATGAGATAGCAGAGGACACGGTTACAAAGGTTGTCTAAAAAGTGATAGTTAATTGCCTTTACTGCGTGTGTCTTTAAAAGTTGAAGGAAAACCTGTGAAGAGGGAAGAGAAGGAAGAATTGTATCTATGTGAAAGAAAGAATCTGACCTACACAAACCAATATGCATAAGCCTCGGGCTGGCCCACTTTCTTTTCCCTATCAAGTGCCAGCTGGAGGACACCAGGAGGAATACCAGAGTCTCCCCCACACACACACCCTCCAGTGAGGGGAGCGCTGCAGCAGAAGCAGAACTGCTCAAGAGCTCTCAGGATAATGGCACTAAAAGAAGCAGGACCAAATCGTCCTGTCTAGAAGCAAGGGCAAGGCTGCAGCAGAAGACTCCCTCAGGAGTAAAAGCTCCTTCATCTGCTACAGCCGATCAAGGTATGGGAGGGATCCAGCAGCAACAGTGGTTGCAACAGTCGAGACTCTGAAGATAGCATATCAAGTTCCCCTGATCTGGGCATTCTTGCTTATGTGTGGCTGTCCCAGTGTCTGCCATTAACAACATCCTCTCCAGCTGTCCCATGCTTTATTTATGACCTGGGAGGATCTGCCCTGTTAAGACCTTAGTGTTGTTCTTCCAGCTCCACTACCAGCTGCTTCATATCTGCATTTTTTGCCGATTCTCTGTGTGCTTGACATTTCTGGATACTCTATTTTAGTTGTACGTACCTTATTTGCCTTGTCAGTCCCGTGTGGCTGTCAGCCTGACTCCACACCTTCTGAGGTCTTGCCTGCCTCTTGCACTCTGGAAGGAGGATATCCCCCCTCCATTTTCACTGCTGTGATGAGACTAGAAGATTTTTCTTCAGCTCATAAATAAACCATCATCTCCCGTTATATGACAGCACAATTCTGGAAACTGCAATATATTCTGACACTCAGTGGTGCAAAGGTTGTATCTAAAACACAGTTTGATCCTGACCCATTGTTTCCACTAACTAGAATTAAAACATGCAACCATTCCTCATATTTGCATGTTAATACAGATCTGTGGTTTGCTTAAAAACAGAAAGCAAAAACATTTTGGCTCTGAAAGAGAAGAAGAACAAGAAGTCTGAAAACCTGAAGCTCTTGGCAGTCCATTTATATATCGGGAAAGAATGGCTTCCTTTTATCTCCATACAGGTTAAGGGCTTGGAGTCATAATGATGTGGTGTAGAGAAATATCATTTTCCAGATAATACTGAAATAGTTAATGAATATGTTTTTAGCAACAGAATGTTTTTTTTGCATCTTAAAAACTACTTTATGAATGTGGTGAAGAAAGCTATAAAAACCATCCCTACCTGTCAATTTGTTAACCTTTGAGGTCTTCAAATATTTTAGCCTCACATATGGTAATTTTCCTCTGATTTTGTCTGTTTTTGTGGTAAGAGCTTAAATTCATTTCTCCTATTAAATATTCTACAAAAGTGTTTTTTTTAATACAGTCTGTATGGTGGTGGTGATGAATCAGTGGGTTTGGCATTCTATTATTATTCTATATAAACATTAAGAAATAACATAACCTCCCAAGACATTACTCCAAGAAACATATATGTGAAGAGAGACAGAATACATCTGGAAATGATTGTTATGTTCTGATTTCTAGGCTGTGTGCGGAAATTCAAATGCTGTCAAGTCAGCATAGAATCCGGGAAGGGGAAATGCTGGTGGAACCTTCGCAAAACCTGTTACAAGATAGTGGAGCACAGCTGGTTTGAAACGTTCATTGTCTTCATGATTCTTCTCAGTAGTGGTGCTCTGGTGAGTATTTATTGTGCCACCTGAACACACGCACACACACACAGAGAGAGAGAGAGATTCACAAAGAGATGATTGGTGCAGTAACAACAACTAATCTATTGCTCCTTGAATATTCTGTTGTTCGTAGCCTGGAATATATGAATCAGTTAGAAAAGGAGGTATGGATACTTGTGAGAGAAGGGTTTCCATATGGCACTTCTCCATGTTTGAGAAACTAAATCTGCATGTTATGGAAGTATGTAAATAGTAATGCATATCAACATGTGTATTGCTGCACTGTTTTCTCTCACTATGTGAATCATTGAAGCCATGAAAATAAAGTGCATTGACCTGTCCAGTGGCTGAACATGGGACAAATTCTAATTTCTGCTCAGTCACAAAGCTTAGTTGGTGGCTTTGGGCTACCCATTTACTCTCAGCCAAGCTTATTTCACTGAGCTGTTTGGGGGATAAAAGGAGAAGGGGACCATGGGAAGCAACTTATGTCACTAAAGTGGTATTTATTAAATACACATCCATGTATGCATGCATGCATGAACGCACGCACGCGCACACACATACAGATACGTGCATACATAATACATATAAACTATTTTGATGCTTCTGATGTTACTGCTGTTGTTTGCTGGGTTTTTTGCCATCTGTTTGAACTTACTGGAAGCAAATGCCAGATCCATGAAAATACTATATGGACCACCTTTAAAGAATGTTTTCTTTGTGGTAATTCAGAAATGGAGGAATATTGAGAACAAATAGAGGTAGTCACCAAGAAAAAAAAGAGAAAAACAGATTAAATATTTTACACCAAGAAAAAAAAAAAGAGAAGAGTAATCTTCCTCTGAAAATACAGATTAAATATTTTCTTACAACTAAAAAATAACCTTATTGTACTGAGTATCTGATTTTTTTTATTGAGACCCTTCATTGTTTTTGCTAGAATAAACTTAAATAGACTAACACAGGTACTCTTTCAACACGTCAAAAGGTGTGTGTGTGTGTGTGTGTGTGTGTAGAAATCAAGGCAAATCCAGTGGCCTGCCCATTCAACTTAATACTACCTTTCTGTCCATTACAGCTTTCTAGAAGATTGTTTTTTTTTTCATTCTAAATGCTGCTAGCTGCCATTATGTTCCCCTGCTATGGGCTGTGTTGCAGCAGAGAAAGGATTCCTACTAGATTTTGTATGCATGCAGAGATAGACACACTCCACGGATCTTGATACATATTGGTCTTGCCTCACTCCTCATAGTGGTGGGGCAAGAGTGGTCTTGATCTGTCACTAGTCTGTATCTTCCTGTCTCATAACTTGTCAAACCTATTTGGTGCAAGTTAATGTTATGCCTAGGACAGCTGGACAGATATCGTGTAGATGCTGAACTTGAAGCAAAGAAGTAGTAAAATGGACGAGCTAGTCAGCATTGTCCTAAGATGCACATAAATGCAAAACATTGCCTTTAAATGAGTTAAATTTTATATTCCCTCCCCCTTCAACAATGTGACCTTAGTTGTAGTAGACTTTTCCTTCATAGGCCTTTGAAGATATAAATATTGACAAGCACAAGACTATCAAGATTATACTTGAATATACAGATAAAATCTTCACATACATCTTCATTCTGGAAATGCTTCTGAAATGGGTGGCCTATGGCTTTCAAGTGTATTTCACCAATGCCTGGTGCTGGCTGGATTTCCTTATTGTGGATGTAAGTACCTACTGGTATGACTTAGAAGCTTTTACGAATTGATGTTTTGCTAGACGATACCTCGTTGACACGTGGCATCATTTAAAAAATGGGACAATTGGGTTCCCCGTGCTGGCCTATTCAGGCATTATAGTCTGGATCCAGGTGGGGCCTGAAGTGTGATGGTGATGTAGAGGGGAGGCAGCTAAGCCCTGTTCTCACATCTCCAACCTACCTGCAAGACAGGCAGACTTTTGTGTGTTTATTGCCAAGGGCTGGAGAAGTGCTTGTGTGAGCATATTCGGGTGGATGTGCATGCAGCATTTCCCTGATAGAGGACCCTGTGTTACCAGAGCTACTGATCACAAAGATGCTATGTGTTCAACAGAATGTACTTACAAGTCCCACTGCAGACTTTTGCTGTGAACATGAAAAGATTTCCCTGTTTTCTAGGTGGAACGGGACCATAAAGTTTGGCTTACATGTGCACCCACAGCCTTATCAGCTATATTATAGTCAAAATTACATGATTTATTGAGGTCCCTTACCAGCAGGATTCCAGAACTGTGTCTGCACATGCTCAGTTCACTTTGTCCAGTGCTTCTCACCAAAGCCAATTTCTGTGCATGTGTGTCTTTATATACAGAGGTATTTCATGGTGATGGTGGGGTGTTACCATCAATTTACTCTAAAATTTCAGGGTGATGCCTCCACCCTGCTCAGACCATCTACAGATTGCCTGTGCGTGTTATGTTCTGGCGTTTTCACCAAGAATCACTTCTGTAATGGCACAAGATCAGATCCTTCTGAAATGAATAGGCATGGTATAAGAAACAGGCCATTATTTGTGAGAACCTGATGCTCCACCGTTGTTGACACTAAGAGGGCTCAGGTCTTACAGTGTCTGGATGAGAATTCTAGAGAAATCCCATGTTCATCACCTTGAATCCTGTCATGGAAGAAAGGCAGGTGGTGTATGTAGGTAGGGAAATGAACATTAAAAACAACTGAATTGTCATGAATGATACAAGGTCTCTTTGGTACTGTATTTTCAATCTAGTTGATAGTGAAATTCTGTCTGGCTTTTGTTACTTTTTTTAAAAAGATATGTTATTGTTTTCAATTTCTTAACTCTGTTCTTTGTTGGTTTGGAGTAGGTTTCTTTAGTGAGTCTCATAGCTAACGCACTGAACTATTCTGAACTTGGGCCTATAAAATCTCTTCGAACACTAAGAGCCTTGAGACCTCTAAGAGCCTTATCAAGATTTGAAGGAATGAAAGTAAGTAATACGAAACTGGGCTTATTCTTTCACCCTAATGATCATACTTTTTTTGAAATGGTACTTGCTGTGCATTATCTTCTAGGACCAGCAGGTGGCATATACCATCTTTGTAGGTACAGTACTGAAGAAGAAAAAAACAAAGCTTGGGCAACATTTGGTCACCATGTTAGGAACTAAATATTTGGGAGTTTTGCTGTTGTTTTAAAGAAGGAGTTATTTGAATAGAGAATTCTCCAATTTATTGGAAGAAGTAATTTAAGCATTAAGTTACAGCAGTCAATATATTTTTCTTCTGGTCATTATACAGCATACTGCCATAAAGAAGAAAACAATACAGACTGCTATAACTCATGATTAAATTACTTCCTCTATATAATTTTCTATTCTATACTATCAGTGTTCACATAAGGCTTGTGTAACTTATGCTATCTATTTGTGACTAATTCACACAGTACTGGGGTACAACTCGATTGCACAATTTGGTTCGTGATACACCTGCATTCATCATTTAGCTATAATTAGCCACAGCAAGTTACATAAATTGTATATGAATGCCAAAAGAAATCTAACCTATCAATTGAATTGGTGGACAGATATAGTTAAGGATTGATATGTAAAATCATTGTGTGCGTAAATAAATAAAACTATTCATTTCATGTCCCTGCATTGTAGCAATGCTTTTCTATGGAAGTATGATTGTACTTGATACAAGGGGGAGGCACTCCCATATTCTTGCATTTCTCTAGAGCAAATTCTGAATGATATGATAACGTTATTGTCTCTGTAGGCAAATCCGTTCTCCTAAGAGATACAGATTGCTCGGGATAGAGAGAATCCAGAGTTAGTGTGCTCCTAAATAAGGTGAAATGAGTCCCTGTTTCACCTAAGGCCGCCCCACTACCCTCTTTCTCCAAGTCTATCCCTTTTCAAAATCATTGAGAACCAAAATATAATCATGAGTCCCAGGGACATTAAGATCTCCCAGTACTCAAGAAAATATTGGACTCAAGGTAGCACAGTTCCGCGGCCTATTAGAAATCAAATTAAGTAATTCAATTGAATAATGGTAGCAGGTTATGTCTGTTCAAGAGATCAAACTCCAGATCTTTGGTATATTTGTTTTATTAGAAAAATAAAGATTTGAAAGAATTCAGTTTATGCAAAAGCAAAGCAATCAGAAACATTTCCATAACTAAACAGTTAGAAATCCAGCAAACTCCAGCTAGAAAAATAAAATCCAATGGAGACTTGACTTACAGACTTTTTGACTTGAGAACTGCCTTCCAATACAGATTAAGTTCTCAAGTCAAGACCCCACTGTAAGTAATTCAACTGAATAATGGTAGCAGGTTATGTCTGTTCAAGAGATCAAACTCCAGATCTTTGGTATATTTGTTTTATTAGAAAAATAAAGATTTGAAAGAATTCAGTTTATGCAAAAGCAAAGCAATCAGAAACATTTCCATAACTAACCAGTTAGAAATGTGACTAACTCCAGCTAGAAAAAGAAAATAACAAAATTACTAAGTGAAAATTAGGAAAGACGTAGCTTCCCCTCCAGCTATTTTAAAAACTACATTCTAAAGAATTTCGGAACTCCATAGTCCATCTAAGAATTCATAGTCCATAAAAACCATACCAGTCCTTTTCGCAGAAACATTTCCATAACTAACCAGTTAGAAATGTGACTAACTCCAGCTAGAAAAAGAAAATAACAAAATTACTAAGTGAAAATTAGGAAAGACGTAGCTTCCCCTCCAGCTATTTTAAAAACTACATTCTAAAGAATTTCGGAACTCCATAGTCCATCTAAGAATTCATAGTCCATAAAAACCATATCAGTCCTTTTCAAAATCCGAAAGGCAAAAGTCCATGATGTAAAAGTTCTCAGTAGGAATCCATGATGCTAAAAAGTCTCTTTTTCTGTCAGCCATTCTCCATTTCTCTCTCTGCCCCTCTTTCCCATGGAACCCAGGTGCTTGTTTACGTACTGGTGTTGGAACATTTAGTCTCTTTGCTAGGCCTCCGTCTCCTGGTAACCAGATAAGGATGTTAGCCTCTGTGAAGAAAACTGCATCTGGAAATTTCCAGTACAAGTACACAGCCTCAAGATGGATTCTTTCGAGCTAATTCTATGACTTCAAATCCCATCTGGAAATTACTTTCGGGCGTCTATAACCCATGTTATCACAGTCTCAAGCAGAGACGCAGATGTCCTTTTGCTGCTGATGGCATCCTGGCAAGATGCTACTGGTATTGCTTTCCAATAACACAGAGGTGCTGCCTTTTCGGATTCATCAGCACTGCAAGGATATTTTCCTAGGTTCACACAAAACCTGTTGAAGTGCCACTTTCCACCTTGGCTCTCCTTTACCACTCTTAGACCAGCAAAGATCACATCACTGTGAGAAGCTGAAGAAGATGTTAGTAGTGATATGTATAGTATAGATGTTAAAACAAGAAGGCTATATAAACCATGTAAATGGACTGTCAATTGACCTTGATATATGTGAAATTATGAAAAAAATTCTTTATCTGTAGTTTTTCTTTTGCACTTCTATATATTTCAAATTTTTAAAAAAAGATGTTAGTAGTGATAATCCACCTCTCACCCACCCCTGCTAAACATTATTCTCTGAAAATAACGCCAGCTTTAATGTGACTTTATATGCACCATTTAATTAACTTTCTGACAGGCAGGAAAACATCTGTCAATTTTATTTTCATCCATTTCTCAAAATGCTACCAGAATTCCCATCCCATATAAACCCCGTGTAAGACTGCAACATCTTTTTTCACTTCCCCTGGAGATTAATGCATATTTTAGCACACCTACAAGTGTGTATCAGCCAGAAATTTTGTGCATATCGAATGTTAAAATAATTAAAAGTTGTGTAGAAAAAGTAGACTTGAAAATAAATGTGTTTTTTAATTGAAGCTTGACAAATAGTTCACAATAGCCTAGCTGAGCAAGGTCATTGTACCATAAAATCCTGACAGCTGAACATATTTTTGTACCGGTGTTTAAATATGGAGGTGAAATTTGCAGTTCCCATAGTTACTGTGTTATAAACCACCCAGAGTGGTCTTAGCAGGATAGGTGGTATAGAAGTTTAATGTATGAATTAATATGAATGAATGAGAGGCGGACGGACGGACCTGACAGACTGGACAGACAGACAGACCAGAGAGAGAGAGAGAGAGAGTATTGTGGTGTTCCAGGACCCTGGTGTGACAGAGCCTTGTTCCTCCAAGCTTTGCAAATTTTTAATCAAAACAACATTATCATCATAGTGATAGCTTATAAGATACTAAGTTGCAGACTCTTGAAGTTACAAAGACTCTAGAATCAATTGACTGCAGGATTCCATTGAAAAAAAGTCTGGCTCCTGGAGAAAGGATTGTTGACAGATTGGGGGGGGGGGAGGCGTGAACATCTGAATTATATATATAGGGAGATAAGACACACACAGAGGAATTAATCACATCATCACAACTCCAAACCACATTGGGCACTAGACATCAAAGAACAACAGTCATGTGGCAGCACAACAGCATGCGTCATTTCTAAAAGCCAGCAACAACTATCATCATGGATTTTCCTCCCTAAATATAAATAGACACAAGGCTGGCTTGGATGGGTGAGAACATTATTTAACAATTTTTCATGTTTGTACAGTAAAATATACTGAAAGGCCAAAGATTACTTGAAGTTATAGTGCTTTTTTACTTTTCACTGATCTGTTCTAGAGAAGTATTCCCTCCTTTTATACGCTATTAAGCTCTTATATTTTTAGAGTGTAATTGAAACATTCTCATTATTCTTTTTTGCTCTTGAAAGATATTTCTACTGTATTGAATTCTGACTTAAGTATTTACCTGCAACTTAAGTTTGATTTTCATATTTTTTTAAGCATTAAAAAACTATGCATCTATGATGATGACCGTGTTTTGACTAAAGTTCTGCAAAGTTTGGAAGAACAAGGCTCTGTCACAGTTTTCCATCACCATAATATTTTTGTTTTTTACAACTTTGAAGGTTTTTTTGTGCTTATGGAACATGGAAGCAGTATAGATAAATAAAGCTTAATATTTTTGTTTTTTACAACTTTGAAGGTTTTTTTGTGCTTATGGAACATGGAAGCAGTATAGATAAATAAAACCTATAGAATTAAACAAGCTCATGTCTAATGCTGTTTATACAGTAGTTGTTTGTTTTTAATAGTGGCTTCTGGGCGGCGTACAGCATTAAACAAGCTAATGTCTAATGCTGTTTATACGGTAGTTGTTTGTTTTTAACGTTTTTAATATTTATAATAATTCTAGCCCATAACTACCTTCACACTTTCCTGTTACAGATTTTCTTCTAATGCCAGCCTTTGTACAGTCTCTGTTCCCTATTTTGTATTTTTTTTTCTCTAGGTGGTTGTGAATGCCCTGGTAGGAGCAATCCCTTCTATCATGAACGTGCTTCTTGTTTGTCTCATATTCTGGCTAATATTCAGCATCATGGGTGTCAATCTGTTTGCTGGCACATTCTACCATTGTGTCAATCGAACGACTGGAGAGAGGATTCATCATGAAATAACTCCAAACAGAAGCACTTGTGAGAGCATGCAACATGTTGCCAGATGGAAAAATGTCAAAGTAAACTATGATAATGTTGGGGCTGGATATCTTTCTCTACTTCAAGTTGTAAGTAACTGCTAATTTGATGTCATTTGCAACACGATGGATGTTAATTTCATAGGGCACAGTCACCTAACACTCTTCTACATAAAGGCAGCTGAAGTTGACCTTATTCAAGTTCATGTGGTCAAACAAAATATCCCTTTAGATTGTATGATTCTGTATCAGTACGGCTTAGACTTGCACTAATGTCCTAGCTACACTCTTACATAAAGTGGTCATATCGACCAGATAGGCGGGATATAAATTGAATGAATGAATGAATAAATGAATAAATAAATAAATAAATACATGCTTCAGTAATTTGCTTTTGCTAATACTGTACTGCATTCCCATAGAATGGCAAACCTCTTCCTTCCAGTCTTTACTCCTATTTCTTCTTTGTGCTATCTGTCTCAAAGGTCCATGTTTCGGGCACAAATATATGCAGCAATAGCTCAACAGCTCTTTTATTTTCTGAAAAGCGGCTTCTAGTGTGGTTATCAAAAGCAACAATACGAAAGGTGGGGGGTGTCAGGAATTGTAAACAAGTGTAATTTGAAAGTTTGTAGGATGAAATTTGCTGAGGAAGCAGTCAGGAAAATGATTAAGCAGTTTCCTGGAGGGTGCAGGAAAGGGACTAAGTATACCTCCTGGAGCCTTTTCTTTGTTCCTTAGTTTAGCTACTAAAAGTGGCTATTCTTGATGTGAACAGCTGTTGGGCTGTCATTATATATACTACCATGCCATGTAGTATTTAATTTAGGGCAAAATGACCTGTTTGTATCCCTTTTTTAAAAGTGATTTGTGATGTGCTAATTGTTAGAAAGGATGACTGTGAAGTTCAGAAAGTCAAGAAAAGAAGAATTACTTCAAATCTAACAAAGATTTTAGAATTAACCATATTTCTATAGCATAGTTTGGTCTTCTCCTAGACTTTGGGAAAACTAGACTCACGTGTTGATAAAAGGTTTATCACTTCTCTGTAAAATAATCCCCCACATCACTCAGAAAAGCCAGTTNTAATTTTGGTACTCAAATTTGGTACTCAAATACATCTTCCTTATCTCCAAGGAGGCAGTTTAAAACTCACTTCTTGACTCATTGCATCCAAGCTAGTGTTCACAGGACTTGATGTAGGTGGGTAGTATTCTCACTCCAGCCACTGCTGCCCACCTGACGTTCACCGGGAATCTTTTGCTTGGGGTAAAGAAAAGAGATCCTGCTGTCCAGAGGCCTGCCCTCTCCCCCGTCTTATCTCAGAGTCAAACTGTTTCCTGATGATTCTGCATCAGTTTGAACTGGGGAGGGGCATCATATCTAAATGTTTTTTTTTTCATTTAAGGGGACTGTTGATGCTGGCACAGAGAAAATCAGCATTTTTTAGTACACTTACAAATTTTCTCCTAGCATTTCGTTTTCTTTCTACACAGTTAGTTTATGGAGGAGCATTCCCTTATTCATTCGGCCTAGCTGCGCTCTCAAGAGACATGGTTCAGGATCAGTATTTATTTATTTGTTTAAACTATTTTGACCCCGCCTTTCTCCTTGAAAAGGACCCAAGGCAGCTTACAGCAGTGAAAGAGAGTATTTAAAGTTGGGGAAAAAAAGAATATACAAAACTTGAAAAGGACCCAAGGCGGCTTACACCAGTGAAAGAGAGTATTTAAAGTTAAAAGACAATATTTTAAACTATGAATGATTATTAAGGAGGCATCTTACATCATGAATAGGCAATATTAAGGCAAAGATCAATGGGTGTACAGTTTTAATATTAAGGCAAAGATCAATGAGTATACAGTTTTCTTTTTTTTTAAATGCCACTCTGAGAAATGGAAAACGGAAAAATGGAAAAACCAAGCAGTACTAAAAATCCAATCAAATATGCTAGGAAGAAAAAGAAATGGAAACAATAATGTGAAATTCCAGACCTCGTTTTGCAGATTCTGCCCCCTTTGTAGAGCATGTAGTGTTCAACATGGAGGTGAGGGAACTGCATGCCCCCCCCCAAGATGTTTATGCATTGCTGCTCCACCTCACTTGACAATCAGGCGGTTAGGGCTGACTTTAAGTTCAAAGACATTTGAAGGGCCACAGGTTTTAGCATGAAGGTTTGGTGTCAGTGTTGTGCAAGGGAGGGGGAACATGTCAGTTTGTCTTTGGCCGCCTTTTCTCTCTCAGCCCATGTCATGCAAGAGCTACTGTGCTACTGGGGAGAAAATTGTGTGCCAATGGGCAACAGTTAATAGAAACATCTTCCTTTGAAATTAGAGATGTGCACATTTCCATTTTGATTTACAGTACTGATTGTCTCTGCCTAGCAACGAAAAGTATTTTGACATTAGTAGTAGTAGGTTTTAATATGTTATCTCTTTCTAGGCCACTTTTAAAGGATGGATGGATATAATGTACGCTGCTGTTGATTCAACAGGTGTAAGTACCTGGTAGTCTTTTCGTTTTTAAAGATGGCAAAACTTATGACAATTGTACTTCTTATATTGGAAGGCCAATGTGGTATTGTAGATAGAGTGATGGACTAGGACCTCAGGGAGGCTGGGTTCAAATACCCGCTGAGCCATGAAAATTCTCCCTGGGTATGGAACCAGTAAAGCCTCTCCTTAAATAGCTCACTTACCTTGGAAGCTCTATTAGGTTCGCTATAAGTTGGTTCTGACTTGACAGCACCTAATAACTTATATAATAACAATGAAACTAAATGTGTCTTTCCTGTGTGTATTAATGTTATTACTTTCAGTTCAACCAATAACTGAGGACTCTAAACACTCACATTAGGGCATATAGTTTAAGATTTGATTGTTTCTTTCATGTTTCAACTTCCGGATATGAGCGGAGAGATATCCTGGAAGTTGGAAGTCTTCCTTCTGAGGACTAAGAAGCAAAAGGTTGACTTCTAACCATGGTCAAGGACTAAGCACGCTTAGCGTGTTCCCTCCTTGGCCAGCAACAGCTGGCTGTCGCATTGCCTCCTTAGATTAGGCTCACTGAATCAGTGAAGATTTGGTGAGTCAACTTTTCAGTATGTTTCATTGATTCAAATTCACCTATTGTAGTTACTACTTACTTTGGTGTAGTAAGTTGCCACTAAAATAGGCTCATTTGAATCAGAGGAATTTATAGAGGAGGTGTCTCACCAAATCCTTACTGATTCAATGAAGCTTGCATAGTGCAACTTACTATGCTAAACCACAGGATTTCAGCCACTGTATTTGAATCATACCATAAGGAACTACCATTCCGGAAGCGTCCTGAGTTGGTTTTCATAATATGTGAATAACTACATGCCTGCATATGGTTATCTTGGAGCAATTACAAAGAATGGCTCAAAGTTAGGAATTTTTCTGAACATCCATGAGGGAACCTTATTTAAATATGCCGTAAGAGTTCTTACCTCTTGATGACCAGTAGGGTGACATGTTCTGCACAGGTAACTAATATTGCGGCTCCATTTTTTATTTGGCTTAGTGTGTTATGTGGGCACCCACAAGAATGTAAGCAGGGAAAATATGAAACCACTCCAGAAACATTTTGAGTTTTGATATCTTGCCCTGTCTCCTGTTTTATAGGTGGGAAAGCAGCCCGAGTATGAGGCCAACCAGTACATGTATATTTACTTTGTCATCTTCATCATATTTGGTTCATTCTTCACCTTGAATCTTTTCATTGGTGTCATCATCGATAATTTCAACCAACAAAAAAAGAAGATAAGTGTTCAGATAATACATCTCTACCTCAGTAGCAAGCTGTGTGTCAGAAAAATGGCTAAAATGACATTGTTACATATATTTCAAGAATGGGCATCATGACTTCCTAATGCTGCAATATTTGGAGATGTCTGTTCCCAATGATTGGTGTCAGTATTTCCTTTATATCAGTACTGAACTATGTAGACCAGAATCCTATTACTTACATATGGCAGTGTAAGTCAAACAGTGTAAACAGCATCAGCAAATTGCCACTAGCTAAGGTTTGTATTCCTCATTGTGCATTCCTCGTTGTGCACCATCTGTGTAACTTGGCACACAACAAGAAATTGTACCTCTCAACTTCAGTTTATACCATTTGTCTTACACCAGTGTGCATGAGTAATAGGTTTCTGTCCACACAGTTTTAGTAACTGTTCATTTTACCAAGTCCTGATTAAAGATTGGTGTGAATATGTAGACCCATATGCATTCTTATACATACACAACAAGGCTCTTCTTTTTCTAATGTAACCCATGGCTCTTTGCACATGGATCAATGCTTCAATGTGCAAAATTAACTTTTTCATATACTGTCCAAAAGACTCTTCATTGCACCTCTACAGAGGTGTCTCCATTGTTTTTGATGAGCTCCCTTTCATTTCATTTCTCATTGTTTTATATGGAGACAACAACAATCTTAGTTGTACATATGAGCTCAAAGTGGTTTTGGTTATTCTCCAGTTCAGTGATTGATTTGTTGTTTCATAGATCTCAGTGTTGTTACTCTCTGAGTATAAACTCCTTCCCATTACCACTTTCTTCTGATGCATAAGGGCTTGCTGGACTGCTGACAAGATATGGTTAGAGAGTGAACTTTTCCCTGACTAAATGGCAGCCAGTGAAAAAGATTGCTCTTTTCTTCACTCCTAAAATCCAATTGATTGCTGGATTTAGACTTCAGATCTGCTCATTGAACATACTGGTTCAGGTAGCACCTTGGCAATATCCTCATCTGTTGGCTTCTGCATTCTGTTTGTCGTGTAGTGGCTGCCATCCACAGTACATTTAATGCAAGTATACATCACACAGAAGTAAATTTGGCTTATATATACATGTACCCTTGCTCCCTCAGATTTCTTCCACTATTTATTTTACTTATTTATTTATTGAATTTATATGCCGCCCACTCTACCCAGAGGTCTCTGACACTATGTGTCAGTCAGAGGGTATAAACATTCAGGTGGCTGACTTGACACTTGCTGCCCATTTGCTGAGATTCAGTGTAAAATAACTGTGATAAAAACGGGCTTTAGAGTCACAGCTTTGAGATCTTAGAGTGTCTCTCCTGAGCTTTCTGGAGGCCTTAAACGTGTACATTTTAGCCTACTATAGCCAGATTGTGGGCCTGCAGAACTAGATTGTCTGTTGAATTATCCTGTCTCCCCCTCTTGCCACACTTGCTTGTTACCCACATTTTTATTATAGGCCTTATGACAGGACCAGTGTCTTGGTGCTAAACCATCTTCCTCAGGATGCAGAAGTTAATCCCAAGCTTGGTGTGTTCATGAGATATTTGCTGGAGGTTTAATGGATGTATTTATTTCCTTCTTTCATGACCTGTAGCCTCCAGATAGTCCCAATGGAGTTATAGATTACAGTGGAGTTAGAGGTCCATTGTAATCTGTGGGGTCGGAGTTTCCAGTGACCTGCTTGTCAGAACAAAATCTGACCTTTCTAGTCAGCTGTTATCAGCTCACACTTGGTCATCATATATGTGATGTTAGACAATTTTGGCCCAGTGTACTTCAGTTTAGTTTTCAACTGCTGCTTCTTTATGGTTTCCATGGATCACACAATTGGATTTCTGTGCCTACAGTGAAGCCCATCCAGAATGTTCCAGAAATGTTTACCTGAAACCAAACAACTATCCCCACTCCCCTTGTGCTATATGCATGCTCCAAGCCATTTGCAGCTTCTTCTCAGTCTCTCGCCATTCTCCACACAAAGTAACAGCTCGAAGCAAGTGTTCTAGCAAATAGCTTTGTGCTTTGTATTTACTTACCTCATCCCATTCTCTTCATATAATTCTTTCTTTTGTCACTGTTTTTTTTTTTCTCAAAAAGCCTAGGAAAAAAGTAGTTAGTTTCATCTTTTTCTGTTGCTTTCCATAAACTCTGTAAACCATTCATCCCTCAGTTATCCTACCCTGTACCTTCCCTCCAAAAGCATCTGGCCTCTCTTGCACTTTTCAACAAGTGCCCTGACTGTGGGGCAAAAAGCCCCCCACATAGACCTCGACACCAAGCGCTTGTACTGCTTGAAGGAGACTGATTTATTTTAAAATAGTTCCATTTGCAAAGCCTTCACTAAAGCTGCTTTTAAAAAAAAACTGACAGAAGTGACTCAAACTGTAACTTTAGCAAACCAACAAGAACAACAACTCTCTAACCCATGAATTTGATGAACCAAGCTGCTCCTGCAACATCTTTAAAATTGCACATTAGCCAAACTGTGAGTGAACTACTTACCCCCACAAGGAGCTAGTCCTCAAGAGTTTGTCCAAAATGGCCAGCAGCCTAGTCTGAGCTCTGCCATCTAGGGTATTAAAAAATCCCATTTGAAACCAAGGTCTCCATCAAAATCAAAGAAGATGCATAGACATTTGGTGCCCTCAGATTCTAAAACTGCCAAACAGCTAAAGAAAATGGAGAAGTCTCGTTCTTCAAAACAAACTCTCCTTATAACTCAAAAATCGGTATCATTACCGCTACCAAACATAGGGCATTCACAAGGGATTCAGTCCTTACTGCCTCCAGAGCCACCATGGTTCCACAAAATGCAGATGAAGTATTATGTCTTGCTTAATATCAGAGAGACAGCTACACCACTACAGAGTGCTTTATTGTCTCCACCAGCTGCTTACATTTTGCCTCATAAGCAAAACCAACAACATTTTGCCATTGTTAGAAGGGCAAATCTCATTCTAACTCCAACTCTTCTGTACAATCTAGATCGAGGTCAAGATCTCCCATTCAGTTTTGACCACCTAGGCCTGCTTTTCACTTGTCTCATATTCATAGTGTGAGGTCTTCTGTGGACTTGAGGTGTGGGAGGGACTGTCCTTTCCCAGATTTTTGGAATTATACTGTATAGATTGGCAGTCTACAAGACTGGGTAGATTTGATTACAAACAAGTTGAGATGTGCCTCTCAAGATCAAACTTGATTTACAGGAACAAAGAAGAGATAGTCACCTCACGCTTGATCTCAGTCTTCTTTGTGTGATCAACATGACATTGTAGATTTCGTTCCATTAATAGAATAAGGTGCTCTAGATCTAAATCCACTCTACTTCCAGTCCATCGTTCTCATGCTTGGTCTTCACCTGTGTCTACTAGAAGAGGACATATAATTCAAATGGTTCAAAAGGACACCCAAAATACCCAATATGGTCAAATATATCTACATCGCTTCTGCCTTACTGTACACCTCCTCAGCAAAACTCTACAGAAGCAGATCTACCTCAAGATAATGTTTCTGCCGCAGATCCATTTACAGTACCTACACTATTTTAGTCTTCAAAGAAATGTGCACCAAAAAGCCATAGAGATTTAAAAATTGCTATTTCTTCAGGTCATAAAGAACCTCAGCCTAGTGATCTTGATTGAGATGATGAGTCATTGCCTTTTTCATTGGTCTCCTTACATGGATCGAAGGTCGACTCCGCTTTCTTCATCAAAGGATATTCACCAATACTTCGATATTATTCTAAACATGATGTGTTTTTTCGGTTGCAAATTCATACACCTTGCAAAGCAGCAGACCCAGTTTTTGCTAAGATTCAAAACAGTTCCAACAGTCCAGTAAAGTTTGTCTGCTTTTGCAAACTTTAACTGACCTACTGATGCAGTCGTGGCTTAAACCTTCTACGGCTCCTCCAACATGCCATAAAATAGAAAATCTCCACAGAATAAAAGAAGAAGCAAACAGTCTTCGAAAGCATCCTATGCATGACTCATTTACAGTCAAAGCGTCTCAGGCCAAACCAAGAGGCTGTTTGCATACAATACCTAACAATAAAGAAGTTCAGAAGCTAGATCTGTTAGGCCATAGGTCTTATTCTTCAGCAGCTCTCAGGATTTGTACAGCAAACTACCAGGCAGCCATGTCAGCATGTAACCAATTCAACCTTTACTTAAATACCCGATGATAACAAAGCCTTGGCTCTTTCTATCCAGCAAGACGCTATCTTTTTCTCAACTATTTGACTAGCATGTGGCCAATTGATTTGTCAAATCTATGGTAACTTCTGTGGCTCTTGGGACATCGTGCTTGGTTAAGAGTAATGGTGATATCTGACACCTCCAAGGATCGAGGATCTCCCCTTTAATGGGGAAGGCCTGTTTAATTTTTTAAAACAAGGTTGAGTTAATGGAGGACTTAGTGAAAAAGAGAAGAGCTGTGAAACATATGGGCACCATCTCAAAATTACCCAGTAGTACCAGAAACAATTTAGACCATCATAGAAACCATACCAATTAAAAACAGACCACCTTTACAGCAGTCTAGATCATAAAATCAGTCTATATCACATTGCTTTCCAGCAAGGTAGAAATCTGATCAGAAAACAATGTTTTTTTTAACTGGTCTTTGACTGAGTGAAGTCTTTGACTGAGTGAAGTCAAACATACTCTTTATGTTCAACATACAATTTCCAGTCCCAGCAACGGGACCCTTGCTCCTTTTTTAGCACTTGTTGCATGGTCACCAATGATTCACAGGTTGTTTCTGTTGTAACACATATTTATATAGTAGAGTTTGCTACTGTTCCATCTAAAGGCAAGATACATTAAACAAAACAATTTCGTTTTGTTGGAAGAGATATTAATTTGCTACAAAAGAATGCAATAGATCCTGTTTCTTTGACAGAAGTTCAGGATGGTTTCTATTCAAGGTACCTTGCAGTCCCCAAGAAAGGAAGAAGCTTACATCCTATATTGGATCTATGTGCAGTCAACAAATATATAACAGCAAACAAGTTTTGGAAAGTGACGTTGGCTACTATTCTCCACTGCTCATGATGGCAAAATGGTTCACCATAGCAGACTTAAAGGATGCATATTTTCACATAACCATCAAGTAAAACCATCAGCATTATCTTCGTTTTATTCATGGCAACAGGATTTTCCAGTTCAAAGTACTTCCTTTTGGACTATCTGTGGTATCAAGAGTTTTAAAGAAATGCATGTCTCCAATGGCAGCTTGCCTTCGAATCAGAGGAATTAACAACTTCCCATATATAGAAGACTGGCTTCTTGTTTCAGACTCAAGAAGTACACTGGAGGAAAACATTGCATTTACTTTAAACTTCTTCCCCTGTCTCTGTCTAGATATAAATCTAGAGAAGTTGTCTTTGACTCCTCTCAAAGAAATAAAATACAGTGCATTTTTAAATTACATTGTCACAAGAGCATGCGTACTACAAGAGAGAATTCTCAAAATTTCTCACAGCAATAAATACCATTTGCCGACAAATCATACCATCACATTTCATTCAGAAACTATTATGGTTAATGGCATCAGCAACGTCAATTTTCCAACATTTCAAAGTTGAGGATAAGACCACTTAAGGCGTGGTTTCTTTGACACTTTTACTTCCTTCAGAGCTAATACTACAACTGCAGTGGTGGATGTTCCCATACAGCCTCTCTATGGGATTTCCTTTCAAGTAGCTACAACCATCAGTTCTTCTAGCCACTGATGCCAGCAAATTAGGATGGGGAACATACATCAAGACATGTCCGTTCATGAAAAGTCGTACTCCTAGAAGAATCAACTATTTAGAGCTTCCAGCCTTCTACAAAGCATTGAAGACCTTCAAACAAGCTGCAAAGGGGAGAGTTGTCTAGATTGCAATGGACAATACCTTCACTTTATTTTATATAAACAAACAAGGGGAGCAGATTCTGTAACCTTACATGTCTTCTATGGGAGTGGTGCCTATTCTGGCATGTTTAACCTATTGGAATCCACATGGAAGGGGGAGAAAATCGTGAGACGGATCTTCTGAGCAGAAAGATTAGTCAATCTTAATCAAAGCAGAAGAACAAGTTGCTTGCATATAAGTGTGGTTCTTCAAGTGGTTATCTGTGAATTCACACAACCTACCCTTCTCTCTTCTGTCTGCCACACAGTAAGATATGGCCACTGGATGGAGAGAGACTGAGGAAAAGCTGTGAGCAGCTTGGAGCATTAGGGAACAAGGGGGGAGGGAAAACGTTTAGTTCCAGTTGTGCAATCTTGGAACATGCTGGATGTGCTTCACCGCCGGCACAGAAACCCAATTACTGTATGTGAATTCATGGATAAACACTCAAAGAACCACAGTTAAAAGTAAGCAAATAGATTTTACATCTAACCATTTGTGCAATTTTAATGCCCATTTGCCCAGACTGCAGAGATCCTTTGGGAGATCCTTGTTATCACTTTTCATTTTAACTACCTTGTTATTATCAGTGGACCTGGCCACTTCACTACTTGTTCCTATCTCCAGATTATTTAGGAACAACTCAGAAAACATCAATTACAAAAAAAGATTCTTTGGGAGGCACTCTTTGCATTGCTCCTTTACATTGCTTTGTGGCACAGTGGTTAAACTGCAGTTGTTGTTGTTTAGTTATTTCCAACTCTTCATGACCCCATGGACCAGAGCACGCCAGGCCCTCCTGTCTTCCACTGCCTCCCGAAGTTGGGTCAAATTCATGTTGGTAGCTTCACTGTCCAATCATCTTGTCCTTTGTCACCCCCTTCTCCTCTTGCCTTCACACTTTCCCAACATCAGGGTCTTTTCCAGGGAGTCTTCTCTTCTCATGAGATGGCCAAAGTATTGGAGCCTCAGCTTCAGGATCTGTCCTTCCAGTGGCAGTACTGCAGTCAAAATTCTGTTTACAACCTTAGTTTGATCCCAACAGATTCAGGTAGCCAACTCAAGGTTGACTCAGACTTCCATCTTTCCAAGGTTGGTAAATGGAGTACCCAGATCACTGGGGGAGAGGGAAATGTGTCACCTGCAGGGTTAAATTGTAAAATGTCCAGAGAGTGCTTTAAGAGCTATGGAGTAGTATATAAGCAGCACACTTTGCTTTTTATGAGAGGTAAATTCATTCTTACTCTCTGATTTCTTAATTTTAATCAGATAACGTTTAATCAGTTATTGGCTAAATTTGCTCTGGTGGGCCTTTTGAAAGTCCATGTAAACAACGTCTATTGTATCACCTCTGTGGATTACACTGCAGTGTACCTGTGGGTCTAAAGTTATGGTTGTAACCATATCTCTTGTAATCCTTTACTTAGGAGGTCAAGACATTTTTATGACAGAAGAACAGAAGAAATATTATAATGCTATGAAAAAACTGGGCTCCAAGAAACCACAGAAACCAATACCAAGGCCAGCAGTAAGAATATTTTTTTTGTTTTTTATTTAAATGTGTAAATCACCTTATGTAACCTGAAACAAATTAATTAAACCAACAAACAAGAGCACCATTTCATCAAAATCTGAAAATGGAGATGGGCATAAATCTCGATTTGGATGTTTGTACTGGTTCGTCTTACTAATGATAAGAGTGCCGCATGTTCCCTTCCCCTGCCTCCCTGTCCAATGGCCCACTCACCAGCAGGTGCACATTCCTCTCCTTCTCCTTTTCCTCTTTGGCTGTTCGACCAGTCCCCAGCAGGAGTATGGGTTTGTCTGTCCCGCTTCCTTGACTGAATGGGCGATCAACCAAGGAGGCAGAGCAGGGAAGCCTGTTCTCCTGCTGGAGATTGAAGAAGAGACAGTTGAAGAGGAGGAGGAGAGGAGTGTGCCCCAGCGGGTGAGTGAGGGATCCAGCCAGAGAGGTCCATACAAACTGACACGAACCTCCTAATCGAGGTTCTATCTGAAAAGCAACTTAACTAAGCAATAGCTTTCTAATACTCTGGAAATAATGTCATACTCTTTGTCTGTCTTGTTTTCCCAGAATAAAGTACAAGGCTTTATTTTTGATATTGTAACCAAGCAAGCCTTTGACATCAGCATTATGATTCTTATCTGTCTTAATATGGTCACCATGATGGTTGAAACAGATGAACAGAGTCAATCGATGGAAGATGTCTTACACTGGATTAATGTGGTTTTCATCATCCTTTTCACTGGGGAGTTCCTCCTGAAATTGATTGCACTCCGTTATTATTATTTCACCATCGGTTGGAATATATTTGATTTTGTTGTTGTCATACTCTCCATTATGGGTAAGGAATATCTGGATTTTAAGGCTGTATATAGAAAATGAATGTAATGGATGTAGCACAGAGAACATCCAAGAAATGGTCAGGTAGCTTAAGGTCAACGTAAACCCCTGTGCTCTGGAGGCTTTGTACAAAATAGGGTAAGCATGGATGGTGATAACTAGGGATAAAAATCCTTTCCCTCACAGGCCACAATGAGGAACACTTCTTGCATCGTTGAGAATAACATTTGCCCCAAGTAGCCTCCTTTTGCAAATGAGCAAAATTGTGCAAAAACTAGACTACCTGCCAATTTGAGAATCTGAAGCATTAGATAGGTTGCTGGCATCTTTCTTAACAAACACTTAGTCCTTCTCTGTATGTTGGTTTTGCATTAGTTTGCTTCACTTCTCAAAGGGAAAGAACACTGAACAACGCAAACTACAAGAAGAAAAACTATCTATCTCTTTCTCAGGTGGAAGCTAGGAATCTTATGGGGCTTTAATAGTCCATGTCACCTTCCCCTGTGCTGTCAAGACAGCCTAAAATCTGTGAGGAGGGATTTAGTAAGTGTTCTTTCTGCCCCTAATAACAGTTATCAATAAATCATGAGACTCATTCCTACAAAATATAGTGATGGACACCAACTTAAATGACATTTTAAAAGTAGACACGTTCTTTTACTCATTGATTTCATGGAAGTTTATTAAATCAATGTTAATATTTTCTGGATGGTTCACACATCAATAAAGTAACAAACAGTGGTCTTACAATAACATTTTGCCATAATATTAAAACAGACCAGGAGAAAAATAAATTTAAAGAATAGCAGCTGATTTTACTGAAAGAAAATAAGCCATGCTTTAAAAGGCCAAGAAAAACCAAAGTGGTGTTGACTAGAGCTGAAATATCAAATCAGATTAAAAAAAGCTAGAGCTTAGCAACATTACTTTTATGTTCTAAAGAATCCACAAGTCCAAAAAGAAACTTCTTTAAAATTGCACCAGGTGCAATATAAAAGTAACGAAGTTATGCCACAAAAGGAGTTACATCGGTCCTTAGTCAAAAATGTCATGCAATATAGTTATAACTTTTGTCACTCAAAAAGAAACAAATTGCAGGGAACTAGTTATTTGTAACTAGTTACTTCCAAGATCTTATCCCAGTTACCCAATTCAAGTTTATTGTATTAGCTAAAAGCCGTCACAACTGTTTAAAATACAAATACGATAAAGTAAAATCATGATAAAATCACAGACATATAAAAGAATAAGAAAACTTTCACATCTGGGAATCTCCCACACAATTGATCGCAATGGCTTTCAGAAAATTAGCTCAAATATTTCTGGCCACTTTTGTGAATAGCACTGTTCTATATGTAACATAAGGGTCACAGTCCGAGAGTAACCTGACCACCTTTATTTGAGGGCTTTCCTCCTGTAGAGCAGCCAAACTGTTACCCAGGAGCTTTTCTCCGGGGTTTTGATATAGCTGACAGTAGGGTAAATAGTGGAGAACATCCTCTATCTTACCTGCTCCGCAGACACATAGCGTTAGATGTTTAGGGACATTCATATACCTGCCATCTAAGACAGTGGTTGGCATGGTTTGGAAGCGGAGTTCTGTGAATGATGTTCTCAAGGAGGCAAAAGTAAATGTATGTAAGTATTGCGCCATTGAGTGGTTTGTTTTCAGCAGATGGTATCATTGAGAGAAATTTGAAGAGTGAATTAAGGCCAGGTCCTGGTCGTTATCCAATTTATAGAGCCAGTCTCTCAACATTCTTTTAACACCAGAAGAAACGAAAATATCTGTTGAGAGGAATTTAGATTTTAGTAGGGTTTGAACTGAAATTGCCCAGCCACCACTCTTCCATTGCTCTACCATACAGCGTTTGGGTAAGCGATGATTCCAAGCTCTTATGATTCTGCACAGGTGGAAATGTTAATCAGCTAATTAGAATTTATTAGCCCTCATCATGGGAGTGCAGATTTACACACACTAGGCCATCAGTTGCTACTGGCCATAGTAGCTGAGTAGAGTCTTACGATGAGAAGCAGTAGTAGTAGATCCTGCCCCTTCTGCCTTTTGTTAAATTGTGAAATGGAGGAAAGGGTACAAGGTCAGCTGTCTCAAAGGTAGTAGGCTTGTTGGTGAGGAGGAGGAGAGTGTGTTGGTGATAAAGATAAATCATGCTGTTTTATCTACTATTTGCCCAGCAGCAAATGCTTGTAGTATGACTTAATCAATAACTAACAAGGTGCTACAATTTGTTTGCATTTTAATCTGGCTTCCAGACTGATATGTCTTGCTTTTTAAAAAAGCAATATATAGTAATATATCTGTAAAGGTAAACATAAGTTACATTCCTATTATGTTCGCATATCTTATACTATAAAAGAGGCTCATCTTTAGATAGCATCAGATTTCTGTAAAGAGAACTGGAGAAGGAGAAACATAATCCTGAAATGGCTTGCAGACAAAGCCTGCAGAATTAAAGGACAGCGGCAGAGTTTTCAAAATTAATGGCTTTCATCCAGGTTAGTTCTTACTCAGATGGAAGGGCACCTTATATTCATGAAAAGGGCTTGATCCAGCAAAAACCTCTGCTCCTAATAGAAGTGGGGATGATTTCTGCCAAATTATCTTGCATTCCTCCTAAAAAGTCCCACACTGGTCTAAAACAGTGGATCTTAACCTTGGGTTACTCAGGTGTTTTTGGACTGCAACTCCCAGAAGCCTTCACCACCAGCTATTTATCTACTCGGATTTTTAGATGCTTTCCAACTGCTAGGTTGGCAGGAGCTGGGACAAGCGATGGGAGTTCACTCCGTCACGTGGATTCGAACTGTTGATCTTACGACCTTGTAGCCCAGGCTTTGCAGTTTAACCCACAGCGCCACCACATCCCTTTCACACTGGTCTAGGGGATATGGAAAGCAGATCCGGGGGGAAAGCACTTTTATCAGCAGAGTAAAGGAAGAATTGATGAAAATAATCCCCTTCTTTTTCCAGTCGGAGCATGGTATGAATGGATTGCCCGTGTAGTGAGCAGATTTTGTGATGAGGAACTGTGGAAGTGTGATGATGAGTTGATACGACATAATTATAAAATGTGTTACCTTACAATGATTTTCCCACAGGTATTTTCCTATCAAAGATCATTGAGAAATACTTCGTGTCACCCACCTTGTTCCGAGTGATCCGACTTGCCAGAATAGGCCGCATCCTGCGTCTTATCAGAGGAGCTAAGGGGATCCGCACCCTGCTTTTTGCCTTGATGATGTCCCTTCCTGCCTTGTTCAACATTGGGCTTCTCCTTTTCCTTGTCATGTTCATCTATGCTATCTTCGGAATGTCCCAGTTTGCCTACGTTAAGAGGGAAGTTGGCATTGATGATATATTCAACTTTGAAACTTTTGGCAACAGCATGCTCTGCCTCTTTCAGATTACTACCTCTGCAGGTTGGGCTGAGTTACTCTCACCCATTCTCAACAGTGGGCCCCCAGACTGTGACCCTGAGAAAGAACACCCAGGGACTTCGGTCAAGGGAGACTGCGGCAACCCTTCCGTTGGGATCTTCTTCTTTGTCAGCTACATCATCATTTCTTTCTTAGTCGTAGTAAATATGTATATTGCTGTTATTCTGGAGAACTTCAGTGTTGCTACAGAAGAAAGCGCGGAACCTTTAGGTGAGGATGATTTTGAAATGTTCTATGAGGTCTGGGAGAAGTTTGATCCAGATGCAACCCAATTTATAGAGTACTGCAACCTCTTTGATTTTGCTGCTTCCCTGGATCCACCTCTTCTAATACCCAAACCAAACAAGGTCCAGCTTATTGCAATGGATCTTCCCATGGTAAGCGGGGACAGAATTCACTGCCTTGACATCTTGTTTGCTTTCACCCAACGGGTCCTGGGTGAAAGTGATGAATTGGACAACCTTCGTGTCCAAATGGAAGATCGGTTCATGGCTGCCAATCCTTCAAAAGCCTCCTATGAACCAATTACAACGACACTGAAACGGAAACTAGAAGAGGAATCTGCTAAAGTCATTCAACGAGCCTTCAGACGGTACCGCTTAAGAAGACCAGTACATGACAAGAAAAATGAAGACTTTCTTGTCAAAAATAACATGATTCCTGATAAATTCAGTTTAAATTTGGATCTCAGAAGGTCAAAGAGGAGATCCTCCTCAACAACGTCACCTCCTTCGTATGACAGTGTGACAAAGACAGACAAATATGAACAAGAAAGGTCCGAAAAAGAAGAGAAAGAGAAAGATTTCAAGGATAGTAAAAAGTAAAATGAAATAAATGATTCTGTCCGTATAAATTGTTTACAGCATAAAGAGGGAAAATGGATACCAACAGGAATCATACTGGAAGTTTTATGCCAAACTGACCATTTCTAGACTTACCTAATAAAAATATATACATGCACCTAAGGCCAGCATCTAACATAAGGCTATTGTCATATTGCTGTTGATTGGATAGTAACATAAGAGACTCATGAGGACAATCCTGTTCACCTTATCAGGTCGCATTGATAAAGAGGGATACACAAAAAAGCTACAGACTGTCAGAATGCATCTGTTTTGTGTGTATGCATCTGTTTGTGTGTTAAAATACACCATTGCTGCAGTAATTATATCCACTGTGTGCATCTCAAATTGCCATGTGTCCTGTTTGACAAAGTGTGGTCATATTTGTTTTTATAGATCAATTTATGATTGTGTTGAGCAAAAATGCTTAGTTTTCTTTCTCAGATACTCGTTTACCACTGTTTCCCCCCCTTTGTGATGTATCATAAGAATGTGATATTCAGGGTCTTATTCTTTTCATGTCAGAGTTTGGGAATAATTCAGTTTTTCAACGCTGATTTGTTACCCCTAATTTGCTAAAGTTTTCAAAAGCAATTTTAAAATTATTTTACTTGTTATATGATGGAGTACCAAAGTCTCATGGAAATTTAATTTTCCCCCCTTTGGGGCAGAATGGGGGGGGCAGGCGGTTTATGGCTGTTTTTAGTTCTTTTAAGTGATTTTTCTAAAAATGTAGAGCTGTCACATCTTTAACAAAATAATGAGTAACAAAACAAAAATATTTAACATCCTAGGTTCATAGTGATTTCTCATTAAAATGTAAGTATTAAAACTAACATCTCCAGGCTCTGAAACATAAAGCAGAAAATCCTGGCTTTGCTGTGAAGAGATTGAGTTCCAACAAGGCCTATTAAATAGTGGGAACAGACAAAGAAGTGAAGAAGGTGAAAGAATATAGCAGTGTACTTCCCAGATCCAGTGTTGATGGGATATTAGAAGATTGATTTGGGTGGCCCAGTTTTGTTAGCTTAGCCCTTAAATCATACTATCCATGTAGATGTCTAGGAAGAAAAACGAATTGTCAAGAGTAACCATGACAATCCAGTGAGCTCCAAAATGTGCTGTCCTCTACAATCCTGCTTAGCCTTTGTAAACTGAAGGCTGTAGTTCTTTTAAGGGAGTCAAACTATCACATATTGGGTCTTCCTCTTTTCGTGGCACTCTTGTCTTTTCCAGAGAACCTTGCATTCTCATGATGTGCCCAAAGCAGGGCAGCCTTGTTTTTGTCATTTTTTTGCCTCCAGGATACTTCAGGGTTGATGTGATCCTGGACCCACTTTTTCAGTTCTGTGGCAGTCCAAAGCTCTCTTCCAATACCACACTTCAAACAATGACAATCCATTTAAAAAATCTCCACATTCCTTTTTAAGGACCAAATACTACCGCGGCCAGATCCAAATTTGTGGCCCACTTCAATGAACTATGGACCAGAATTAGGAAAAATTTACTTTTAATCACCTTCCAGAATCCCACTGTCCAAATGCTTGAGGTATTTGGAGGACTGTAGGTTTTTTTTTAAAGCGACTTTTTTGACGATATGGAACAGAATTAACTGCTCAAGTCTGAAAGAAAAGCCCCAGGTCCTGGGCAAGATCCAGATAACAGAATAGCTTAAGGGAACCCCTCTAAATAGCTGACAGGCACTGAGCCCTAGAAAACAGGCCACTAAAAATAGGTGCGCAGATAAAGTAGAAGCCTGGCTGGTAAGTAGCAGCTCAGAGCAACACCAGGTCAAGAGGAGGCACACACATTGATGAAAAAGAAAGAGCAGGGGAGGCAAATCAACTGATATGCTAGAAAGAGCCATCAGCTGTCAGGGTGGGACACTGGAGGAGGGAAGGGAAGTGTTTCTCCATAAACACTGGGAGGCAGCAGTCCATGAAGGGAGCAGCGCAAGCAGTGAATCACAGACTACCTGCCAGCCCTCAAAACAAGCCCCTGACTTTGATGAGGGCTCCTAGAGGGCAACTTTTCACTTGGGATTATCTGTCCTGTGATATCTGCTGCTGCTCAACGCAGGTAATGGTAGGAAAGCCTCCTCTATTGCCCTTTAGTGTCAGCCAAAAGATCTAGCTGACAAACAACTTCACTGGCTTCTTTGAATATAGTCTTCTCTCCCTCCCCCATTTTAAAATAACCTATCCCATCTCACTGATAAAACCACTGAAATTATAAGAAAACCTGTCCAGACTTCTTAAAAATATGAAGCAGGAAGCTTCCATAGAAATCTAGGGGTCTCCCTTGTATCCTTTTCCTTTTTAACAGCTGCACGGACTTCTGTAGGATCTCCCTTTTCTCTTTTTGCGACTATTGGAAGTGGCAAGACTTAACCAATAAGTTTATTAGTGGCCCATTAATTGTTATCATGGTCTGGCAAAATTTCTCTTTCCTCTTAACTCCCCAGGTGCTCCAGTGTTTTAGACTTTGTAGGAAGGCACCTTACATGGAGACAGACCATTGTTTTATCTTGCCCAGAATTGTTAACACTGACTGTCAGAGGCTCAGGGAGAGTCTTTCTTGGGCCTACCTGGAGATGCTAGAGATGGGCCCAGGGACCTTCTGGGTGCAAATCAGGTGCTTTAAAACTCAGCTATGATTAGGTCTTCTTGTTTCTTCTTGGGTGTGCACTGTTATAGTTTTAGTTTACATAGACATTGCCCCAGAAACACAAAAACAATACAGACAAAAATACATGACTTAGATTTTTAAAGGTGTATTTTTACCTAATATTCTTATTTGAATTATTTATTTGGCAAATACAATGAAGGGTTCTGTATCACTTTCAAGACTAAGCAATGTGCCTGTTTTTAAGGTGCCACAAAACTCTGTTGCGTGTTTGCTTTAACAGACTGAGATGGCTACCCTCTGGAAACTATCAGGTTAGTTCACTCTTACATTCTATGCATAAAAGCATGTTCTGTTTTATAGCACATGCATGGGAAAAAATAGGATGCAGTGGAAGGCAGCCAATTTATATAACTGCATTCAGGTGTCAGGCGTGAGATAGTGTAGCGTGCTATGGCATGGAACGCAATGAAAAGGTTTTGTGTCTACAGAACTTGCAGCAGATATATCCAGTAAGCTTTAGAGCAGAGGCATGGATTCTAGCATCACACACAACCCCTAGGTTTTTTTCATGAAGTGTTGTATCTTCTTAACCAGTGCATTCCACAGCTCAGCTGCTGCAGTGAACCAATCAACAGTTTTAGGCTTGCCTTACTTTGGTATGCTTAGGACTAACACTGCCTTAATAAACTACAGTGGTGTCTTGCTTGATGACGTCAATCCATTCCAGCGAAATCACTGTAGAGCGAAATCATCGTCAAGTGAAATAAAAAAGCCAATTGAAATGCATTGAAAATCGTTCAGTGCGTTCCAATGGGCAAAATACTTGCTCGTCCAGTGAAGATCCTCCATAGGGCAGCCATTTTCGGGTGCCTGTAAAGCGAAGAATCCATCCCTAACACAGCGGGGAGCCATTTTGCACAGCAGGTGGCCATTTTGAAACCCGACGATCAGCTGTTTTCTGATAGTCGTAAAGGGAAACATTGATTCCCAAAGCAAGGAACCAATCATCAAAGCGGTTTTTTCCCCATTGAAACATCATTTTGCGATCGGAAAAGCGATCACAAAAACCTAATCGTCAAGCGGATTCGCTGTTTAATGAGGTAATCGTTAAGCGAGGCACCACTGTATACCTTAATAAACTATACCAAGGATCCAAACCAAGTAGTTAAATACCTCCAGGGTGTGGAAAGATTCACAAATGGCACAACCAAATGCAAAATTTGGCTGCAGCTGTTCTGCATTGGAGGGAATGAAATTTGTTTCTTTTGTAGCAATTTCACTTGCTCCTGAAACAATATTGATCCATAGTCTTCCCTGTGAGGGGGGATGGAACTGTGTCATCAATAATGGACAGTTTTAACAAACATTTGGTTTTTTTAAAAAAATTAGAACTTATATATGCAAAGAAATAAGTAGCCCGCCTTAAGCAAGTCTTCTGAGTAGGAAGCCTTCTGTTGAGTAGGCAGACTTCCAGCAGCTGGTAATGATCTATTTTGGAACATTAGCAACTAGATAATGAAACAAGGGCTGTGTATATTCTGGGCATCTATGGACCTGCAGCGAAAACAGTGACCTCACCTGTCTCTCTCTTTCCCTTCCCTCTTCCTGTTTGTCTGTTCAGCAAAACATTCTGGCTCTACTGGATGGTGGAGAGCACTGCTTGGGACAGGTTGTGTACTTGAGGGCTTTGCGTAAGCACCTCCCCTCGAGGAATCGGTTACATTAACTGAGTTAGAAATATTTTCATTGACTACGAAGTTCCCTGACCTTAATCAATTGGATGTATATATATATATTGGATATATATATATACTGTATAGGAGAATGTTACTACAAGATCTGCAGGTGGCAAATGCCATCTTAGATAGGGCCTTCCTCCTTCTCCCACATAAAGGAGAGATGACCTGTGTAATATTATTTCTGAAAACAAGTGTGTGTGTGTGTTTTTGGTTCAGAACAGTTGATTTTGTCCTATGCAAATCTGAATGGATGGTTAATAATACTTTCACCTGCAGCCTGGCTGGCTGCACTCATATATAACAGGTTTTTTTTAAAATGAAGTGATGGCCCTATTAAGTCTACCCAGTACTGAAAGACAATGGGCCTTACTACCTCCTTCCTCTTTTTCTCTCTCCATGGCTGCTGCAACCTGTGTCCTACAAAATAAAAAATCCTACATTCTTTAAAAATGCAACCTTTGAAAATGTTATTCATTTAGGCCAAATTGTTTCCCTTCTACAATATCCTCCGAAGAGAGAATGGGGGTTTTCTTTGATGTGGCATCTCAATTTTCTGAAGCACAATACTTATAGCCTAACGTAGTCTCTGATTTGCTCTGTACACTTTCTTATGGTTTAACGGGAAGTTGTGGATCCATGGCAGAAAGACACTATTCTGTCTTGCGTTGCCAGCAACTTGCTGTTGCTTATGTTTCATTTGTAACAGTTAATCATGTACTGCAAAAGCATTACTAGGAAGGTATGATAGAGCCCTCCATGTTGGTTTTAAATGAATTTATGAAACTTTTAATTTTAAACAAATGACATTTCATGTTCGAATCGCCATGTTTTGTCAGTTTCAAGTTATGGAGTTATAAATTATAATTCCAGTATTTGCTTTATTTATTTATTTATTTATTTAAGTGTACCTTTTATATCAATTCATTACAATATTTAACACACAGAGTCAGCTTGTGCTTAG